TATTGATCATAACATATTATTTTCTAAAAATATTTTTTCTAAACATCGTGTAATAAAACACTTAAAATTATTATACTACATAATGCACCAAACTGCGGCATCTAATAGAGAGTGTGCAAACACAATATAGTAGATCATTTCGTTATAAGGAGTGAATTGTCATATTTATATGATTTTATACGGAAATCGAGAAAGCCAAGTAAAATATGATTACCATTTCCTTAATAGAGAATGTTTCATTACATAGGGTAAATTTTTAAGGTAAAAGCGTTGTTTCCAATAATATTTTTTGTTTAAAAAACACATCGATACAATATATTTTTTTAATAAAACAAAGAAAGAAAACGTTTCTCGGACTACTTGTTTTCGCTGCCTTTTACGAAAACGATGTCGATAATAGCATTCGATGATGACGATTGTTCTCTCCCCTCGGGCGTCGGGGTGCGAGCCAACACGAAGCGTCGCGACGTAAAGGCGGGTGGTCACCCCCTACGTAACCACCGTAACTTGCAGACGTAGCCGAATAAACGACCCCATCACTGTAACTGCTGCCGCTGTTATACTGTGTACAACAACCACTAACCCTCTTTTCTACGACGAAGGAGACAAAAAATAAATTTTCTACTCTTCTATAGTCGCTTCAGTTTAATTTTGATCATCAACTAATAATTTTTATGTTCGGTCGTATTGCATTGTATTGTACAAGTGTATACATATAGAGCGGTTCTTGTTGAGTCCTTTGTTAATATTTACTCGAAAATAGCGAGCGTCAAGGCAGGCTGTTGGCTGTTCAACGCCTAAAACGAGATCCTGGTTGGGGTCCGCCAACAAAGGTAAAGACCTCGGATTTACGGTCACCATTTGTCTGTGTCATCGATCACGAACCAGCGGAGGAAAAGCCAGCCACCACCGAGCCAGAAAGCTCTTTTCCGCTTTTCCGTTTCCTCCCTCGCTCGCCCCCCTTCGGCAATACCTTCCATACATACATATATATATACAACACGTCGCGTTAGTCGAACTCCTTTCTGCCCACCTGCCGACCAAGGGGTAATTGTTCGTTCGTCAACACCCCCACACCGCAACAACTCCGAGGCATCTATCCTTGTGCCACCGCGCTCAAAATATCCTTTCAATGAATGTACCTGCTACAAAAACGCCAACAAGTTCGTGGCCACTGGCGAGTGGTGCAATTTTGAAAGAGAAATATTACAAAGAAAACAAAAACGTAGGTAATTGACGTTTACCATCTTCAGCAGTTGGACATAGAGTTAAATCAAATTAGAAATGAAAAAAAATTCAATAAAGATTCACGTTTTGATGTAATTAAGCCCTAAAAGGGTATTAGAAAGAATAAGAGAACAGAGGAGTCCATAGAAGTCAATAAAAAATAGGCGAGATAGGTTGATAAAACACCTTCTCAGGCATAAAGGTCTAGTCAGAAACATATTAGATGCAGACACAGGCGTTAAGAGGAGTAGATGTAGACCTAGATTAGATTACCGTTCGCAAATAGTTAAGGATCTGGGATGTTCTACTTTTACGTACCATCTTCTAAACATTGAGGGTGGGTGCGGCTGAAAAGAAAATGTTAGAAGCATTCGAAATGTAATGATGAGGATACCGTGGATAGAGAAGGTTAGAAATTAAGAGGTTTTAGAAAAAATAGGAGAACAGAGGACTACAGAATTCAATAACAAATACGCGAGATAGGTTGGTAGGACACCTTCTCAAACGTGAAGGACTAGTTAGAAACATATTAAAAGAAGAAACATCAGGAATTAAGAGGAGTAGAGGTAGATCTAGATTAGATTACTGTTCGCAAATAATTAAGGATNGATTATTATTTGTTCCGGTCACTCCAAAATTTTTTAGACGGTAAAACCTTCACCTCAAATGAGGAGGTCAAAAACCTCCTCGATCAGTTTTTTGCAAGCAAAGACCAAAAATTTTATGAGCGTGGAATTATGCTACTAGCAGAAAGATGGTAAAAGGTGTTGGACCAGAACGGTCAATATATAATTTAATAAAGTATTTGTTTATTATACGAAAACTGTCTTTCGTTTCCACAAAAAAAAACGAAATGACTTTCCGAACAACCCTGTACTTTTGGAGTTAGTAACGGTATACGTAGAGGTACTTCAAAATCTCATGGGCTGCGAAAGCGCAGGGACCTTATTAAAAAAACATCTGTCTCGTATACAACCAGGAACCGAACACCAGATAAACCTGAACCAGTATGGTGTGCTAATGAGCACCAACAAGTTCGAAATTGCGTTCCTCGTTCAGTTTTATAAAACAAAATGTATTGGTGAAGATTTTTATGACGTCGTGTACTACATATATATGTGAGGGAGTATCATAGGAATAGTTGCATCAACGTGGAAATCGATTATTGTCCGAGCACGCACAAATATGATATTGAATTACCTGAATCTGCATATAAAAACACTTTATTTCAGGACAGAAGTATTCGGACGCGTGTGAATAATCCGCCATTACCATAACAAAGGTGAGTTAACAATCAAATTTAACACAGGCATAAACCCGCACAACTGCTTCTTTTGAGCTGCCATAATCCACCCCATGCATTTTGCAAACGGGAACAGCTGAACCGTGCACACATACGCTATGTATGTATGTGTGATTCAATGTATTTGTGAACGCAAAAACCGATCGGCGATCGTTATTATCGATACATACAATGCGAAGTCAACTTATAGTTTAGGGTTAACATTGCAAGCAAACTGAGAAAAATTTAGAAGATTATTGAAAATAATCAGTACATAATAAGCAGATAAATTGACTTACCTCATGTTTAAGGAAAATCGGTCCGTATTGACCATTGAACAAGCTCTGTACAGTGGAATTCGCTTGTTATGATTCCGCCTATATTGACCAACCGCTTAACATGAAGTAATTGCAATGTTAAGTTTAGTTTTCATATTAATGTCTATAGGAAAGTTTGGATGTAATAACTCCGTTTAAAATGGCATATCGTTTATTGGCTGATTCTCAAGAAAACGTATCTGGCTATAGCGACCCGAATGATTAATAATAACATTTTTGCTCATTTTTCTGACCCTTCTTATGTATATTGATATTAAAATTCATCGTCCTTTATCTTTTTTTGTTGATAAACATATACAACTTGTAGTTTTTCTCTCTATTAAACTAAATAACTAACCAAAATCGAAAGTTATTTGTTTTCTAAGACTATGCTTTGTATGACGTGTTTGTCATTTCCCTTCGGTGTCATTATAAGCGGATTCTACTGCATAATAAGCAGATCAATTGACTTACCTTATGTTTAAGGAAAATCGGTGCATATTGAACATTGAACAAGCTCTGTTTATTAATTTCTGTACATGTTTGTAATCTTAATTTGTACGCTTTTGGAATTATCTGACTGTTAAAACGCCCAATCAAAGCATGAAATTAACTAAAGGATTCGATATCCAGGATTCATGTGAAAAGTACGTAATGCACCTATTACATATGAATGAAATAGGTGACGCCTTTGATCTTTCGGTTGTTTGAAACAAGGACATGGGGTAAGCCACCACCTACGTGATCCTTTTGAATGGTGTCTCGTTTACAGCAAACGAGATAAAGTACACACATTCAAATACTTGCATACTTACGTATGTTTTAAGAACAGAATAGGTGAACAACGATTATAAAAGCCCGTCGACTTTGTAAAGGTATAACGATGATGGGGGTTGTAGCGGCGGCAGTTGTAGCCCGTTTCGCTGACACAAGACAATTCAGAACTGCTGACAGAAGAAAATTGTTCAATAGGGCAAGGTGGAAGATAGAGAAAAAAGGCCAGAAACGGTAGACTGTACTTTACAACTAAAATAGATTAATAACAGGGTGGTACTAGTAACAAATGAGAATCGGTTACATGGCTGCTGTTTGTTTTCGAAAATATTTCCAAGTTTTAGTGGGATACAGAGCAAAAGTGG